AGATATAACACTGGACTGGAATCGCAGCCTGGCTACTGTACTTCTGGCTTCTCCTTTTCCTTTCACCAAGTCTTCTAGCAGATAATCTGCTATGGAAGTGTTCCCCCTCCCTGCACCCACAGGTCTAATAACTCCCTTTGTGTGTAACGTGTGGTCGGCTCAAACAAATGCTCTTTCCGGACTGGTCTGTGAAGCACCACAACTTTCCTGTTTTCTTTAGATGCTGCTGGTGACTACTTGAAGTTAATGAAGGATTTCTTCTCGCTGGCTTGTGTTCAGCCAAGACAGGGCTGCAGCAGGATGTCACTCTGTTCCTCATTAGCTTAACCTGCAGCCCCAGTCAGGCAGTTCAGGACTGCACTGCTCTGCCTGTTATATTTTCTACCACTTGGAAATGAGACCACAGACCTTTGCAAACATGTCATTCAACATAACTGCCTCTGTTTGTCCTCAAGATGAAGCCCCCACCTCTCCATTTTCAATCTAACCATATTAACTGGCATTAATTACAGTCTCTGATTATGTGCAATTTTATTCACTAATCATCTTTTGATGGTATATTTTCCTGAATACCTGAAAACTTAAGAGTCAGTTGATCTTATTTCAACTCACCACCAAGGCTTTGTGGACCCAGGAGATGTGCCCTTTTATAGAAGCACTGCAAATATGTCAGCGAATGTATCTCAAAATGAAGTTGTTAAATGTCATTGCAGCTGCTACTAAAACTCCAGAATAAACATCATTATAGAATCACAGAATCAACCAGGTTGGAAAAGACTTTTTTGATCACCAAGTCCGACTGTTCCCAAGGACTGCCAAGGCCACCACTAACCCACAGCACTCAAGTTGTTATCATGGAATTAGAAGATAAAATATTAGTGCTTCCTTGCCATTTTTTATGTAACAGTAAGAATACCTGAATGATGTTATAATATTACATCATACATGGTGCTTGCACCTTGCTTTAACTGGGTATGGCTTGATACTTCAAGGAGAACTCTTAGCCCTCTAGCCCATGATTTGACCCATGTATTTCTTAGACTGGTTTGGATTGGAGGTGCCTTAAAGCTCATCCAAGCCCTGCCCCGGGCAGGGACACCTTCCACTAGAGCAGGTTGCTCCAAGCCCCTGTGTCCAACCTGCCCTTGAACACTGCCAGGGATGGGGCAGCCACAGCTTCTCTGGGCACCTTGTGCCAGCGCCTCAGCACCCTCACAGGGAAGAGCTTCTGCCTCAGAGCTCATCTCAGTCCCCCCTCTGGCAGGTTAAATCCAAACCATTCTATGATTCAGAAGACAAATTCTTCACTGAGGCACTGCTCATCGCAGGTACTGAATAAATGTACTTGGGGAAGGCAGCTGTAGCATAAAGAGATATTTAGGTAAAGTTTGGAAAGCGAGGAAATGATCACAGCTTTCTGGAAAACACATACAGGTCTCACCACTCTATACATGTTACTGGGGGAATATGTATTTGTTGTAGCCCTGAACACGTAAGAGCCCCGTAACTGAAATTACGTGGTACTCAAAATGTAATGCTGCTTATCCTTCAGGGACACACTGAGGGTACCAGTACAGTGGTACTCTGCTGAGTCCCTTCTACGAACACATAGAAAGAGATGCCTGCTAGTGGCTAAAGCAGCTCTCTGGGGTGGGCTGAATACCCTCAAGTGCCACCAATGTCATTCTGTTTCCTCAGCGTTGGAACCTGCTTTCTTCCCAACCCTCATTTCAGCTCTTCTGCATCTTTGAATTTAAGGGGAAACCTGAGCTCAGCTTCCCCCTTCTTGGTTGTCTTAAACAAAAGATCCCCCTGGACAGATCCAGCAGTTCATGTCGACACTTGGTTGTCTGTTCTAGCATCTCACTTTACTGTGGCAGTGGGATGGGAGAGAATAAACCCTCCCTTTTCCCCATCCCAGCTGAGACACCTCAGACTGCAACTTATCTGTTTCCGTCCTTTTAGGAATTAGACTCACTGTGAAAAATACACTGAAATAATCATGACATGAATTAGGGCATTCACAAAGATGTGCAAAAGCCTTTCAGTCATATTTCATCTCCATTTCAGAAACAAAACCCCAAACGAGTAACAGAATACTCCTGACACTCACTATTCCTGTAATCTTAAATTCACCTTGGTCTGCAAAGTCCTTGGTGCCACATACCATGCACACCACGTTTCACTTTGTTCCTACAGGTACTATACCACTTTGCATGGGTGAAACAGGTCGCACGTATCTGACTTGCTGTTTCAGCTATGTAAAAATCCCAGCACACTATTCAGTAGTGGATTTTCTTCTGATAACTTGGAAAGTTCCTAGAAGACCACAAATCACTAAAAAACCCATTTCCCATCACTTCCTTTTTGTATCATTACAGAAGAAAAATCCCAAGTCCCAGCCTACTGCAGTTCCCACTTGTGACAGGGTAATACATCATTTCTTTTCTTACATCAAAATACATCTGATTTAAACACATGTCACACAGTGTAGCTTTGTGCATATTAAATATGCAAAGGAAGAGTCTAAAAGTCAATTTTCTTCCCAAGGCAAACTTATTCTTTGAGAAAACAAAGGTTTTCATGTCACAATCACACTAGAAGCTCAAATTAATTCTGAGCAGAAATAAACGCTGGGCCAGACAATGAGAGAAAACTGCTTTATGCTTCAGTGTGATCTGATTCTGCCTCTCCGTGAAGAGGTGGTTGGGCAGCAAGGGAAATACCTCGTCTTTAAGAAGAGAGCTGAAGGAAACATGAAACCATCTTGTACACTTCAGTGGGATTTACTGGAATGCTGAAGCTACCTTAAAGGCCTGGGGGATACCTGGTGCTTGCCTAATTCAGGGCAGATTTTGTGGTAACTGTAGCAATTTAGAAGGCAATGGATAGCAGAAATAGTGAACCCTGGTCATAACTAGCAGTTGCACATGAAGCATGCATCCATCTTTTTATCAATCAGATACCAGTCATATGGTGCCTGAGAAACTTTGCTGTTAGGAAGCCGTTTGCAGTCAGTGAACTTGGGGTTTCTTAAATAGTCAAGCACCTGACACTTCAATGTCCCATATGTGTAACTCTTCTTTATCCAATTTAACAATCTGGCACATTTCTACCACCTCAGAAAAGGAGAAGAGGAAGATCAGCGTTGGTCTTTAAGGGAGAGGATTTCACTCAGCTCCATTTATCAACAGCTCTGTTCCTGTGCAGAATGGAAAGCCCAAAAGTCCCCACCACAAATGCAAGAGAACCATCTGCACTGCTGCTGGTTTTCCTATCGAACAGCAGCCTTGGATGAGAAAGAAAGAAACCACTAACAAATCACTATAGATGTTTACTAAGGATAGTTTATATGAGTTGAGTTTCCTTTAACACTGACTTTGATCAGAAATCTTGACCCTACCCCTTGCAAGGTGAATTAGAGCTCTTAATTACTCCAGTTTTCCTACTGCTAATGAAATGGGCTGGTGTCATTAGTGAGGCTTGTCAGCTACACTTATGTGCAATGCAATGATTTGACACTGCTTTTGTAATCTAATCCTTTCAGGAAAAACAGTCGGAAAGTCACTCAAGCACTGTAAATACAACTCCTTGAAGACAAAGAGGACAGATGGCAATGCTCTCAAGGAACACCATCTAAAATATTCATCGTTTAGGAGGAGAGGACTGTTAACCCTGTGAACCACCAAGACATTTCAATCTCGCAGGAAAAAAAAACCCATCATTTTCTGCTCAGGAAATGAGGGAAGAGATCTGTAGAGATGCTCTTTTTTCTTTGCTCAAGACCTCTCTGCACTGGATCTTCATGCTACATAACCATTCCTCAGTGTCAGCATCCAGAGGCAGCAGGCATAAATGTGATCTACGCACAATTCTGTTGCAAGGCTCAATTATCACCCCATTGGTCCTGGCTACAAAGCAGCAAAAACATTTCAGGCAAGCTTATAAACTGTTACTGCAGTTACACAGGGAAAAGCCTTGTCCATCCCTCCCTTCCCCTCTCCTCCCATTTTAACTGCAATTCAAGCCTGTTAAAATGTCAAGCACTATGCTTAATAGCTTCCTTTTGGTAAGAGTTAATTTGAAACGAATGTTATCATAGATGCATGAAGCTACAAACTATTGCTGAAAAGACAACTACAGCAAGAGACAAAAACAGTGAGATGTACTAAAGACTCAAAATCAAAAGGAAACAAATCAAAATGATACACGAAACAAGGGGAAAACACTCTAGTACAGAAACTGTCGGCTGTCTCTTCAAAACAAGAGCTGCCATCAAGACAATGTATAGTTACCTGCATCCATATCTGCAAAGAATGGAACAGCCAGTAAGGAAAAGAAGGAACCAGAAATTCAGTGTCTCAGAGTTGGATTTAAAAGTTCATAAGGAGAATAGATAAAAAAAAAATAAAATCAAAAAGGTATTTAGTGTGAGATACACCTCTATAAGGTACTACAATGGTTTTGACTTCAGGCTATAAACCTGGATTCATGTTTAACACCACGTTTTCATGTATAAATTCATATTCTACGGCATAAGAACTTAACCAAAACAAACTGCAAGGCCAAAGATTTAATATATTAAATAAAAAACAAGTTATATCTTTATTGAGGTTTGTGAAGTTGTCTTATTCTCCCAATGTCACAAACCAAAGGGCTCAATTCTGCAGAAATCAGCTGCTAGATACAGTAATGGTGGCTTCCAACAGCCACATTGAAAACAGCAGCAACTGAGAGCAGTCAACTCTTCTCCATACAGGACTAGAGGCTTCCCATATGGACACATCATGGATGCCAAAGTATTTAAGGATGCTAAGTAGTTATGAACAAGCTACAATTATACTCATCGGATATACTTCTCTCAGTCTGCAAAATGTTAAAGGCAAAACCTCCATGAACATTGAAATAGCAAATCAGGCTCTTTACTGATTCATTTCTGCATGATTGAAAATGAATAAAGATGTAGAGGTGGGGGGAGAGAAATGTGCATATCCACATACCTTCAGGTGATTCCTCTTGGACATAGGTCCCAGTCAGATACCGGTGTACAAGTGCAGACTTGCCACTTGCAAGGTTGCCCACAATCCCCTGGGATTGGAAAAAAGAAAGGGGGAATAAAGTTCAACTGCAATTAATCCCTGCAAAAAGCAGAATGTTCAACATACAGAACAACAGAAACACTCCAAAACATGATGACAGATACAGTAACTACCAAAAGGCTCATGTATAAATGTATAAAACAAAATAAGGCTGGGTTAGTAATACTCCTTTAGTTAGCTCACCACCGATGCCAAGTAGGAACATCAAACAGACTTCAGGGAAGAAGCCTGAAGCTCAGAGCAAGGTTGTCACCTCTTTCCTGAATCACAGCATCACAGATTGGTTTGGGCTGGAAGAGACCTTAAAAGACCATCTGATTCCAACCTCCCGCCACAGGCAGGGACACCTTCCACCAGACCAGGTTGCTCCAAGCCCCTGTGTCCAACCTGGCCTCAAATGTTAAACCCATCACTAACCTCTTACACTGGAGGCTATCTCTGTAGGCTTTCCACTGTGTGATCCACGTTGCCTGGCTACTGAAGCACACACATGATATATGTGGCTAGAGACAGACAGATCTCAGCACACTCACTATGACTTGTTGAAGTCTTACTTTATACCAAGAAGTTTACAGCTCAAACCATCCGTGCTCAAACATCTGCATCAGGAACATCAACAACCAAACAAGTACTCAGTCTTAAATAAACGTCTTCTTTTTCTTTCTCTTGCTCAATTCAGCTGCCCCTGTTGAACAGAACCCTGAGGACACTGTGCTTAGTTTTGGGGGGAGGAGATGGGAACTTATTTCATCCTTTAAAACAAACCCAAGCATACTCTGTTCTTCAATGTTTATCTTGACCGTAACCAAAAGGTTCAGAACATAAGAACCCTGGAGACAGCACGAACTCGGCTGAGCCTTTGGCATCAGTCTGCCAGAACTGACAGAGGCAGCATAAACAAGTTACACATTAATGGTCATTCTCTACTCCATTTTCTTAATCCTAATTGGAAACTATTGGAAGAAACTAACCTCCTTGTGAAAAATGGCTTAAACCAACAGAGTCGTGCCACCTTAACCAGTTCCGGAGCTGGGGAGAGGAATGATTCTCTCTTTTTTACAACCCAGAACAACTCTCAGTTAAAACAAGGGTAACAGTTCTGCAAAGGATGCCCACTTCATTCTACAGCTGAGGCGCAAGAACAGCTCAGATGAAGAAGCAGCTTAAGCAGAGAGTAAACAGAAGGCAGTCTTGCATCACCCTTCAGCTCCTATGATGGCATAAGAAATAGAAGCAAAAAGAAATGTAACCCAAGAAACCCACTGTGGGATAACTGCTATCGAGGAGCAAAATACAAAGGAAAAAAGGAAAAAAATCACACAAACCTAAAGCAATTTTCCTCAAACCTGATTATAAAAATCTACATTTGCAGCACGGCTTTGTTTTCCCTAGAGAACTACTGCAGAAAGCATTCAGAGGCATCTGCCTCCTCCTCCTCCTCTCTTCTCATCTGGTACCAGAGACAACTGCACAAGATCTCACCCTGGTGTCTGCGCGGGAAGAGCCAAGGCAGCCACCTCTTTTCTACCAGATACAAAGCCAGTACATGAAATTCACATCTAGCAGAATCAGCCTTCTGCTGTTTCACGCAGTGCTTGGCGTTACTGCTGGGGTCTCTGCACACTATTAACCTCTGAAAATAAGGAGCAATAGACTTCACACTGGACGGGCCTGACTTGTAACGCAATTTCTCTCTTGATCAGGGACTAGTTCTAAGGCTGATCCCCCACAGTATGACAAACACGCCAGCATGTTTTTACAGCAGTCATATTCCTGTCTCCCAGATTTTATATACAAACAATCTGAGTCATTTCTGTTTATTTATGGATACGTATGAAATGCACAACGAGAGGATCTTAAGGTCCTTTCCAACTCGTAACCATTCTATGATTCCATGTTACGGAACAAAAATGCCACCCTAACCCAGTTCAGAAATGAGAAAATTCAGCATGATGCTCTGTCAGTTCTGGCTTGTGCAACACTGAATCATTTATTTGCATGTGCCAGACATGCTGTAAAAACAAATCCAAACCCCTCTGCCCACATCCTACAAAAGCCTGTTTGGAAAA